TCCAAGTTGTACAAGCATGTCCTCATATGTTCCAGATGATATTGATTCAAGTAATTCATCTTTTTCTGATAGTCCATCAATATCGAATGAAAAAAATTCTCAAAAACGTAAAATTTTTCAAACAACTTCAATTGAAGTATTTGATAAATTACGTGAAATGGGTAATGAACAAGAAAGAAATTTATTTGTTGATCGTTTACAAAAATTATGGGAAGAATATCATGTTATTTGTCGAAAATTGCCAAATATATCTCGACAAACTATTGATTTATATCGTTTATATGTTTATATTCGTGAACAAAATGGTTTTGAACAATTTTCAAAAATAGCAAAAAATCGTCATTGGCGTGATATTGCATCAAAATTAAATATTCCAAATACTACAACTGCACCGTTTCATCTTAAGCAAAAATATATTAATTTAAAATTATTTCATTATGAATGTAAATATGATCGAGGAGGTATTGATGCTGATCTTGTATTAGCAGATATTGACAAAGCACAAGATAAACAATCGAAAACAATAAATAAGAAAAATAAGAAAAAAATCGTATCTGTTCAAGATCAACTAATGCGACCATCAAACTCATCTTCATCAATTGAACAAAATAACATTGATAATTTACTATCACAACAAAATCGAACAACTACATCAGTTGTGTTAAAAAGTTCACAATCGTCCAATTTAAGTTCTACTTCATCTATCTCAAGGTAAACATTCATTAGTTGTCTACTTCTACTCTATCAGCAGTATAATATCAATATGTAAAAAGACAGACTAGATTGATCACAGAAACAAATCGATTAGAAGTTCACTATTTATAGAATTCGAAAAATCATCAAGAGACATTCTCAGATGTTGCATTCAATACGTGACTTCTGATATGAGATTTTTCTTTTTCTTTTTTCAGTACCAATTATCAATTACAACAAGTTCCTACATTGACTAATCAGCTTTCAAAAAAATCAGAAGATTCATCTGTCTTAAATTCAACAACAAAACCTATTTGCTTTCCATTAAATTCTGTTGAAGCAACAACTATTTCATCAAAAATTAAACGGAAAAAATTAACTGTTAAAGACATTAGTATGTATCATGTTTCTGTGTTTTATATCATAAACAAGTTTTTTTTCTTCTTCTAGCACCAATTGATTCAATGAAATTACTTATGTCATTACGTGGTGGTCTATTAGCTGAAACTACTTGGGCATTAGATACAATTAATATAATATTAAGTGATGATCAAACACCGACATATTTAGATTTAAAACAAATGCCTGGTTTATTACAAGCAATTGTTGATATCTATATTAAATGTTTAACACAATTATTTGATGAATTTAAAATTGAAGATGAAGAAATATTAAATGATTCCAGAGAAAAATATCAACATAAACAAGAACATGATTCAGTTATTTATCGAATTGAATCAAATTATTTAAATAAATATCAACGAAAAGATAATAAACAACAAAATATTACTTATGAACATGTTTATGATTATTATGGAAATCTAAAGAATAATCCAGAGGATGTATGCATTTGTTTTTGTATATTGTTTTTTTATCATAAGGCCATTTGTTTCTTCAGTAGGTAATATAAAATATAATGAGGAAATTATTCCAAGTGATGTAGAACTTATGCATTATTTTTGTTTCATAAGCAGCCGTTGATCGGACTAGAAAAAGGCTAATAGATCTTTCTTGCTGAGTTATGAGTATTTTAGTTAGTAGATCACTTATAACCAAAGATTTACCGAAAAATCAAAGTATAGAATTTCGATCAGAATATGTTCTCTTTACGTAGATCTTATCATGTTTATAACGACCGCAATGTTACACTCAAAAACGAATGTTTTTCTTTTCTTGAGATATTGAACCACCTTCGTTTTGACTGCCACATTTAAGTCATTATAAAGATTATGAGATCTATGTATGAAGAATATCTTTTGATCGAAATTCTGTACTTTGGTTTATATATGAAAACATGTCTATAGTAAATTTCTTTTTTTTTTATTAGGTTTTAGAACTTCAAAATACAGATGATTTAAGTTATATTCAAACTCATTTTGATCCATTACATAAAGATGACAGTTATTATGAAAATCTTTATTATGGTCATCATTTTGATGATATGTTATCAACAGATGAACATGATCAAGAACCAATAAAAAAATTTTATATACCATTACATAATCATATTACAACATATGAAATCGATAATATAAAACTTGATGATCAAAATTCTGATCTATTACTAAATATATCAGATAGTAATAGAGAATTTCTTCAACGTTATAAACGAAAATTTCAATCTGATGAAAATTCTTCTGATATTTATATGACAGATTTTAATTCTTGTTCTAATTTAAATGATCATGAAGAAAATATATCAACATTATTTACTCAATATTCATTTGGTTATGATCAAATATGTTCTCGTTGTATATGTGTATCATCAATTTTACGAAATCTTAGTTTTATATCTGGCAATGATATTGAATTAGTTAAAAATAAAACATTAGTTTATGTATTAGCTCGTCTTTTATTACTTGGACATAATATTAATCATACGAATAAAACAATTTCTTTGCCCAATGAACAAATAAAAGAATCATCAAATGATCAAATCATAAATGATTATTCATCAAAGGTAATTTATATTCTCTATCACATCTAAAGATAAAAACATAGAAGGTATATCACTTATGAATTTTTCTTATATTACAAAGATTATATCATACAGATACTTATTTAAATTAATCTGATAAAATTTGAAATGAATCTTGTTTGGTTTTTTCTTCAAAAAAACTAATTAACTCTTCATGAATTATTCAATCAATAGTATAGGAATAATTTGACATTGGCAAGAATTTATTTATAGAATATTCTCTACGATGAAACATTTCTCTTTTTTTTTTTTGAACTTGGCTTGTTTGAAATTATTTTAATTGTTTATCTTTGATTTTAGAATGAAAATCCGAACACTTCATCATCATTTTCTTTATCTGAATGTTTAATAAACATTCGTGAAAATACATTAGTCACATTATCTAATATTGCTGGTTTACTTATTTTTGATACATATGATTCATATTTAATAAATGAATTAATTAATGGTCTATTACATTGGTCAACATGTTATTCAGGTGAAGCTATTGATCCATTACAATCATCATATATTTCTGTTCAACATTTATCTATTGAAATATTAACTAAATTAAGTGTACATGATATGAATATGGATTTTATTTTAGCAACACCATCATTTTATTGTATAATATCTTTATTTAATATTTTAACTGATTGGTTAAATGTTGATAATATGAATAATAATATATCAAATTTCTATACAAATGTAACACGATCTCAAGCATATATTCAACGTGAATTTGCAATTGTATTATTAAATGCTTTAATACGATGTGATTCAAATGCTGCTCATATTATTGCACATATTCCATATACAATATCATTATTAATTAATTTTTTAGAAGATTATGAAAAAAAAACTACTGAATTAATAACACGTTATGGTTCAGATTATGTTTTACGTTTAATAAATATTCAAGAAACAGAACAAATATTATTTACAACAAATGATATGTTAAAACGTGCAGCAACATGTTTATTATCAATGATTAATTATACAGATAATATTAAAATAATGAAAAAATATGAAGATCGTATTTTAAATTTATCAATATCAAATGTTATTGATCGAAATATTGGACGAATACTTACAGATATTTTACATTATTGTTCATTATACAACAGTTAAATTCTAATATTTATTTTGTAACAAACTTTTTGTTTTGGTTTTTTTTCTTTGTGGACAAAAAAAAACTGTATTTTTATGTGGTCATTATGTTGTATGTATGTGTAAATTTTGTTCTTTTTTTTTTCGTTGTTTTCTTTTTCTCATGCACACTTCGTATTTGTTTTCTGTTTTATTATGAATCTCGAATGGTTTTAATTAGACGAAAAAAATATACAGATACAGAATGTGTTAAAATCGTTTGTGATTTAGTAGTGATTGTATAGAATGTATGAAAAATGAGAAATTAATTGTAGGAATACATAGGTTTATGAAGAGTTTTTACTAGTCAATTATTAAAATTTATGAATCATATTCATGACAAAATGTTCTTTCAGGGGAAAGAGATTAAACGAAAATAAAGACATTGAAATTAAATTAATTTTTCATAATGTATTAAGCTATGAAAAATTATGTATAATTTTCCTAGATTCATTATTTTTCTATCACAATTAGGTTGTTTTTCTCTTTATCTCATGAAAGAACATTTTCTCGTGTGTATAATCCATAAATTTTCACAATATGATAGTAAGACATCTTCATTATTCTTAAGTATTTATAGAAATAAATCATGTTGTTGACAATGTTTAATTTAGTATAAAATTTATTGTTTTTACTATTTAAAATTAGGACTTTAGTCCTATATAATATATATTATTATACACTATCTAGATATATTAGAACTATTATTATGTTGATAATAACTTTGGTTGTCAGTCAATACTAACAGAAAGAAAGATTCTTGTCTATTATTTCACTTCTCGATTATTATTCTTCTCGATGACCTTGACCGTGAGAATGTCTTATATAGAGTAAAGTCTTGGAAGTTCATGGTAAAAAAAAATGGTGTCTTCTATCATTTTTATCTTCGTTTGTTTATTAATGGTGTTACAAAAAAAATTGAGATTAGATAATTTCAATATTCGTTCACATTGTACTTGAACTAAGAAATTTACTTTTCTTGTTCAATGACAGAAAAAGAGAAAGTTTAAATAAAGAAGCACTTAAGTAAGCGTTATAGATAAGAACATCAATTACTATAAATACAAGTCACAGTGAGATTTTTTTTATTTTGTAGTATTTCGAGAGAAATATATATTATTTCTTTTTGTTCTTCAGAACATGTCAAGGAGACTTATGATTGAAAATAATGTACAGTTTATATTTATTCATTTCAGATAGAATGATTTCTACCTATTTTGCCGTTTTCTTTACATTGAATCTCTTACATATCTCACGTAAGTTTTATTTTCGTTTGTCCATAAGAATTTAATATTTCAATCATTCTTTTAGAGTCATTACAATCTGGTTATACATGTGAAACAACAGTAACATTAGCCTGTTCTCAATCACAAAAGATTGTCATTCTCGAAGTGATTTATTCATCGGAATGTCCAAATATAAACGAGTCATTAAATGGTACTTCAATATATGCACCATCTCGTTGTATTGGTTATTATCGAGAACGAGCAAGTAGTCTATGTAATGGAAAAGAAACATGTATTATAGACAATAGTCTTGAACAACGTCCATCATTTCTTATTGGTAAACAAGCTAATTGTGCATTTAAAGGACAAAGTATAAATATAGAATATTCATGTATTCCTGGTAAATTAACATGTAACATGAATAAATAATTATTGTTATAATAAAAATAATATTTTAGATTTTCAATCGAATAAATTGCCTCGAATTGATATTTGTTCATTAGAATCACTAGATGATATTAAAGAAGGTTTTATTCATACACCTAATTATCCAAATAATTATCCGAATAATCTGGAATGTTCAAAAAAAATACCAGCACCAGTTGCTAGTCATCGGTGAGTTATTTATTATCAAGCTAGTTTTCTTTTTTTTTGATCAATTAATTATCTGTTTTTCTAGATTAAAAATTTATGCTCTTGATTTTGATGTAGAAAGTATAAGTGTAACTCGTTTGACGCGTATTACACGTATTACTGATTGGTTAGAAATTAATAGTAATGGAGACAAATTATATGGTATACGACCACCATTTACTCTTTTATTTGATGATGTTATTGAAGCATCATTAATGTTTAAAACAGATTTGTCTAATACAAAACGATCATATAATGGATTTTTACTTTATTTCATCGGTAAAATCATTTAATCTTTCACAAATGTAGAAAGAAGCTATGTCATTATATCATTCAGATGATCATGTCACACTAGATCGAAAGTTACTAGTAGTTGAGATAAACTATCATAGAACAAATGCTTTACATTCGAATCGATTTATGAGGAAGTCTTTCAAATTCATTCACTTTACTACGTCTATAGTTCTATAATAAATAGCCGACATCAACACTAGAATATTTGTACCTATAATTCGAATCAACGATAGTCTGTTGTTCAGTTTTGATCTTAATGAATTTGTTCATATTAGGAAAGTTTTTTTTTTTTTGAAAAAACAATTTAAATTCAAGTAGTTTGATGAGTATTGGAATATTGTGAAATTACAACTTAATATCTCGAATATCATGCCTCTTGTTTGATGATTGACTAAGTTTTTCTAAATTAATTCACTTGAGATAAACACATTTATTTTTGTTGAAATTTTCAAGACATTCCTATTTACATTAGATCTATCTATTGATGAAATTTCAGATTAAATCACATTTAATTTAATTTTCTTAAAAGAGCTTCACTTACGAGAGAACATTTTCAACGATCCAAAAGCTTTTAAGTTCGAACTCTTTTCATAAGGTAGGCCCCATTAAGGTAGAAAAAAATCCCAAAATACTAAGTGCCCACAGCTCTTCTATCTGGAGTTAGAAGCATTTTACTGAAATTTCAGTCTCTAGCATGCTACATACCAAAAAATTGAACTATGGTACTTCAACCTGAGATTTCGCCTATATACTAGTCTGTACGTAAGTAGAGCCTACTGGAAATTTCAGCTGAAAATAATGTTGTATTGTCGACATACTTGAGTATCAAAGATACAAAAATTCTAGCATTTTCTATAATACTTGATTCATTTTTAAGACTTGAATATCTCGACAATGCAATATTATTTTGAGCTGAAATTTTCAGTGGGTTCTACTTACGTACAGACTAGTATATAGGCGAAAACTCAGGTTGAAGTACCATAGTTCAATTTTTTGGTATGTAGCATGCTAGAGACTGAAATTTCAGTAAAATGCTTCTAACTCCAGATAGAAGAGCTGTGGGCACTTAGTATTTTGGGATTTTTTCTACCTTAATGGGGCCTACCTTATGGAAAGAGTTCGAACTTAAAAGCTTTTGGATAGTTGAAAATGTTCCCTCGTTAGAGAAAAAATACCATAGGCTTATACTATCGTACCTAGTATTCTAGTGTCAATATCACGTATTTAAAAATATAATTCTGAATTCAAAAATGATGAATTATGTCGAATAATTCTTCGTTAAGCACATATATTCTCTGATATTTGTATATCATGAGATATTGTCTGCATATTACAAATGCTGAGATTATACGAACATTAGTTTTAGAAATATCATAACAGACAGCTAGAAGTACAACTAGAATTATTTATCATATATCTTTTAGTTACACCTGTTCGTCGTTCTCGACTACCAACAACAAAAATAATAACAACTACAAATTTGAATGTTCTCTCTGATGATGATTCTATAACTGCAATTCAACAAAAAACAGCTGGACTTATTGTAGATAATCGACGACAAAGTAAGTTGAATCAAACTTTAAAGATTAAAAGTAAGAAATCTATTTCGTAAATTAGATAATACTGGCTTAATTTTACTTATTATTCTTCTCTCTGGTATTCTTTTCATTGTCATCTGTGCCGTTCTACTTTACAAACGGTAATTAAGTAAACATAGTTTTTAGTTCTTTTTCTTTTTGTAACAATTCTAAAAAAAAATTTTAGTCGAAATGATCGTCGTGTTCGTTATTTAGTTGAAACATTTAATTCATTCATACCAAAACAATCAAGATCCGTAATGCTTGATTCATTCGATAAAAGTGATGAAACAAAATTGGATTTAAAATATGATTTATCTTCAACAAGTAACAATAATAAATCAAATTTAAAATATC